GGTCCATTCGTCGTGCTTTACACACAATCTTTTATTTGACTCAAGGCTAGTTGTGTGGGTCACCATGATGATGCACCTCGATAATAAGTGAACAGTAGTGTGACGCTGTAAAACCTGGGTGACTTAAATCTGCTAAAGTTATCTCACAAAGCCCCAAATCCTGCTTCACAGGCGAGCCAAATGTTGTTAGATGCTGAACTGATATGATTGTCAGAGTGCTCGACCTGCTGGGACAGAGTTCCACATCTAAAGGAAACTTTGTTGGGTAGAAAAGACTAAAAAAAGATAGGATCCACTTTGTAGCCACTTTTAAAGCACAAATACAGATAAGCCGTCTTTCTCTGTTTATTGATTTAAAATAAGAAGGCCGCCAAACCTCAACTGCAGCCTCGTAATCCGAGCCATCAAGTAGAGTAACTTTGATGGGCACGGTCTTAAGCCGTTTGGTGCTTTTCTGTGGCGACCTGGAGGCTTTGCTTGGTGTCTTCTCAGAGCTATCATCCATATCGCCTTGGTCCTCAGGAACCTGAAAGAAAGACGCATTAGTCAAGTTAGGGAGCAGCTGTTCTTAGCTTTCTGTGGTCCATGTTCACACGGTAATAACAAACAGCACTGTGACAACTTTACACCCTTTTTATATGCAGACGATGGAGAGAAATAAGCCTCACAATGGCATACATGTCAACCCCTTCGGACATTTACCTGTATAATGAGCCTCAAAAATTAAAAAAAAATTGTATAAATCACATGCGTGCAAGGTGTGTGCAGGCGGACTGTCAGCCGTGGAGATGACAGCACCTGGAGCGCAAAGCAGGAGGAAATGAGAACAAGAGAACATATTTCTAGCAGCAGAGTGGGTTGGAAGATAGTTATTTGATGTTATTTATTGTTTTTTAACAACCTACAGGTCTGACCTGTTTAAAAAATTCAAAATTGAGTTTTTGAAAAGATTCTGTAAAACTTGAAAAATTCCATGAGATTGCTCTATCTGTTCATATACCTGTAAAATGAGGGGGGAATCCATGTAAATTATAGACATTCCATACAATTTGACATGTATGCAAGCACATCAAGATTCAAGCATTTGCACAGGTGCACTGATCTGTTTGCTTGTGAATTTGACTTTTCTTCTTATGGGAAAAACTAGAAAAATATGCATATACTCAAAATTATACTTTCATGGTAGTTTTTCCACAAGAAGATAATGCTAATTTTGTGGACTGTACAGCTGAAAAAAAATATGAAATAGGTAAGTTATAGTTTTGTGTAAAAACTACAGGGGAAATGTATTTTTCTTGGTAATATATATATA